GGGGGGGGGGGGGGGGGGGGGGGACAAAAGACGGAGCAAAAGCGGTGCTGGATGTGGCGAACGAGTGTACGTGAACACTTATGCCGTTTAACGAGATTGGCCACGTCGAGGAGGCGAGCGGGTAGGGGGCGTACAAGAACACAGCGTGTGTCACATCTCTTGGGAACACCGTAGCTATAATAGCTGTGTAAGGTGACCAGTCACCGATCCCGAAAAAGGGGGGAGGGGGGGGGGTGCAGCAAGCCGTAGTCGCTTGACCATTGACCTTGCATCTCTACAAAGGAGGGACGGAGCACGCTGGGTTCTCACCGGACCAGGCTATCACATCACCAAGCGCGAAGCGCCAGGGGGGTGGGGGTTGGGGAGTAAACACGTCATATCTACGGCGCGAAGAGAAAACCGCAACCGTGCAAGGTGAAACTCCGCAAGCAAAAAAACAATCACGTGCATCCTTCTATCCACCACCATTCCTGTCATTAAGAACAAGCAAGTCACCTGTCGAACAAGGGGTCGCCGGAAGCCTCCCTCTCGTCTGAAGGCTCCATCATCGTGCTCGCCAGGAAAGCCTCCACCACATCTCCTTCCTCCGGCATCCCCTCCGCGTCTCCCCCCACTCCGCCCCTGGACCAGGGGTTAGGCACCGCCGGCAGCCGCCGCTGCCTCTGGCCGGACCTGCGCGCCACGGGCGAATCCACGATAACACTGTAGGCCCCGCCGCCGCCGCCGCCTTGGCCCCCCCCGTTCCCGCGCCCCCGGCCCCCTCCTCTTATCGGAGCTCTGTGCCAACCCCCGGGCGGGGGCGGCTTGCCGCCGCCGCCCTCGCCGCCGCCGCCGCCGCCGCCGCCGCTCCCAAAGCGGTCTCGAGAGATGCCGCTGCTGCTGCTGCTGCTGCTGCTGCTGCTGCCCGGAGCCACCTTGGCTTCCGCCGCCGCCACCGCCGCCACCGCCGCCGCGCCCGGCGCCGTGATCCCGTTGTGGTGGTTTCCACCTCTTAACCCCCCCACCCCCCGTGCCCCGTTTGTCGTCGCCCTCGTTGTTTCCACGTGGTCGCCGCCGTCCCGGGGGTAGTATCCTCCTCCCGCGGCCGGCTGCTGCTGCTGCTGCGACGACAAGCCGTTGCTGTTGATCGACGACGACGTTAACGCTGCCGCTGCCGCCGCTCTCGTCCGCATCGCCTCGGTGTGGCGCTGGGCCTCCGCCCTCGCCCTCATGCGTCCGCCGGCCGCGAGCCGCGAGGACTCCGCCGCCGCCGCCGCTCCCCGAGCACGCGCAGCGGCAACCACGGCCGACGGCCCGCTGGACAGGACGTCGACGGCCGCCGGCGGGGACTCGTGCGACCACTCCGTGGCGGTGGCGGGGACAACGGGACCGCTTTCGTGAGGAGCTCGGCCAGTTGGGTTGTCGGCTTCGGCCCCAGCGCCGCTCCCGCTCAACACGCTGAACAGACTGCCCGCAGCGCTGCTGTCTGCTCCCCCCGTCCCAGCCAGCGGCGTCGCCACCGCCGCCGCGTTCTCTGTTCCAGCTTTCGGCAGTGACTCCGGCACGGGTGGTGCTGGGTCGGCTACGGCACCGCTCCCGCTCAGCACGCTGAACAGACTACTCGAAACACTCGTATCTGCTCCCCCTCCCCTACCCGCCACCGCCGCCGCCGCCGCTCCGCCGTTGGGCGAAGACTCGAGCACGGTGGGGGAGGGATGCTCCGGCGCCGCCGCCAATACTGCCGCGGGAGCCGTCTCTTCAAGCACAAGGGTGCCGGGGCTGCCGGTGACTGCATCTATCTGCCGAGACTCGCTAAGCCGTTGCACTAGCTCCGCCTTCCTGAGGCTACCCGGCTTCCCCCCGCTCTGGCGGTACAGCACCTTCAGCTCCGCGAGCTTCAGCTTGGCGAGGTCTTGCAGATCCGCCGGCGCCGGCGCCGCCGTCGCGCCCAACGCTTCCCTTGCGTCGCCAACGGAGGCAGTAGCAGCCGCTTCCATCTTACGTGCGGCCTTGATGCCGCCGCCGCCGCCGGCCTTCAACATGAATAGACTTCCTCCTCCTGATGCTGCCCTCACCTTGCCGCCCTGTTCCCAGCGGGAGCCCCGCCCGTGCGCAGCCGCGGCAACACCTCTACCCGCTCTTGCCGGGAGGACTTCCCCCTCGCTCTGACGACCCCACGCGTCGGCGGCGGCGGCTAGCCGAGACCGGTGACCAGCACAAGCAAAGCGGCTGTCGTCGCCACGTCTTTGCGTTGCCGTCGCCCCAAGCAACCCCGCCCCGGAGGCCGACCTCCGCCTGCCGCTCCCGCCGCCGTCCCTATCCCTAGCTCCGCCTGCCGCCGCGGCGTGAAGGAAACAAGCGGGGGACCGGCTGCCGCTGCCGCTGCCGCTGCCGCCGCCGGCAGCGAGAAACGCGGTCGCCAGGGCGGAAGATTCCCCCGCGGTGTTGACGATCAGCGCCAAGAGGCACGTCGCTAGCGCGGATGCCGGTCCGCACGCGGTCGGCGCGGCGGGCGGCGGCGGGCGGCGGCGACGTCGTCGTTGTCGCCTTGTTCTGCTGCCGCTGTCGATAACAACGGCGGCGGCCGAGGGTAGAGGACGCATCCGCTCCTTGTGGACAAGAGAACACGTGTTGTTGGTGTTTCCCTCCTTGCTCTCGGGTCGCCGACAGCTGTTTCGTGCTCGACAGGTTCTCCAAGAGAGATAGAGAGAGATAGAGAGGAGTTTCTCCCGGGAGGGTGGAGAGACTGAAGCGCCGCTGTGTAGC